TAAATCATCATGCCAAGGGTAACCAGACACACAGAATCTCACCCACTGCAGCTCCCAGTGGCAATGTCTCTAACAGCACACGAAGGGAGAAAAAATTCTGTTTAGCAAACGTACTTTCACTTGAAAACTCCATGTCTAGGTCCTGTAATTTATAGTCTTCAGTGCTTTTGAAAGCAGTTTCTCAGTGCTTGGAGAGAAAGCATGTGAGAGGTAGAAGACAACCCAGTTTCTACACCACTGGCTCAAGAGTTTTTTCTTGGAAAATGGGCCTCAGTTTTCCTATCTGGAAAACTGAAGTACTACTAGGTCTTTGAGGTCTGCCCATACACGATACCTCTGGGACCTGTAACAACAAAAGAATGAAGAGATGCTCTAATAACAGAGATGCTAAACAGTATTACCATAGGTTGCATGATACAATGCACTATAATATGTAAAACATAAGGAACAAAAGTCTGTTCAGTTGATATATTACATCTGAGATTAGTAATCTGAGCAGCAAATGTATTCAGGTCTGCTGGCAGACACCACAGAAGAGACACACAAGTTAAAGAACCTGCAGGCTTTCTGGTAACATTAATCTGCATTTATATAGCACATTTCACTTGATGATCTAGAAGAGTTTATTATTAAAACCCTCACAACCCTCCTGTGGGCTAAGAACACAATGCTGTGTCTTTTTAATTGATGGGTAACATGGACTTCATCAAGAACAAAGAGTTGAAGGTCAAAGAGGGTGAATGTCAAGCTAGACAACTTACCCCTACTACCCATCTTTTGTAACTCTCGTTTGAAGAAGCAGAAAGCAGACAGTGATGCATTGTTAATCAGAAGGTTACACTGCAAGCCATTTCAAAGCAGTTATCATGATTAGTAGTTACCAGTTGTGTAGCACAGAGTGCAACAAAGGTCAACAGTCTGTTCCCTGAGCCAAGAGCTGACCTCCCGAGGACAGCAGGGCCAACAGCACCCTGCACACATACAGACATGAGGGGTGAGCCCAGACAGACGTCTGCATGCAGGCACAACCAGAGCATGGATGCTCTCCTACAGAGAGAGACAGGATCTTGGGTCCTGGCTCCTATTGATTTTGCTGCTTCCAACAATATGAGTAAGAGAGGGAGAATCCCCCAAATTGTGTTTACCTTTCAGAGGCAAATGCTTTAATGAAAAACACTCCAAGATCTTCAGTTAACTCATAGCCACATCATGCCATGAAACCCTATAGACTCATGGAGTGGCTGTCTTCTGTTCCTCAGAGGGAAATATGCTCTCTCTTGAACCGTGAGAAGCACTCTGAAATACCAGGGGTGTTCTTCAGAGCAATTGTTTTCAACTTTTGGCCAGCAGACCTGTGGCATCCATGGCCTTCCTTTAACGGGTCCGTTAAAGCTAAGAAAACCAACCTCTTATCAGTAGGTTTCAATTTACCATCAAGGAGGCTGAACAACCTCCCAAAGTATTTTCAGAGTTGTCAAATCAAGAAAGCTTGAAAATCACTACTTCAGAATTTCACACCAAAACTCCCATTCAACCTCTCTCTCGGTAATGAGATATGACAGGACCATGACCCAAGGCAGCATGGCTGCAGGCATAAGAAAGTCTTCTCACTCAAGTTATTCATCAAATGAATAACCTAGATGAGTCTCACTTCATAGCAAGTCACTCAGGGCTCAAATAACATGCATCTACAGAGTTAGAAGTCCAATTTTGTGTCTCCCCTTGGGAAGCATATTTCTGTAAGATTAAATAATAGTGGCTACTGAACGAACATCATGAACATCCTCACTGTACCACCCTTTATCCACCTTCAGAACTCTGTTACAGAGAAAAAAAGTTCAAAACTGCAGATCTACAATATTAAAATGTTGACTGATTGAATAGTTCCATAGGATAAAGTACCCCCTATATTACAATATCAAGACAAACATGTCTGTGTGTGTGCACGCAAGGACATGTTCTCTGTGACTCCACTGGCTCACCATGATCACACCTGACACAAAAGCTCCAAAATTCTCAAGTACCCAAAACTTTCTGAAAAACAGACAACAAAGCTGAGGAGTCAGACTTTACCAGTGCCCTTCGTGAGGGAAAGGCCACAGTGCCACCCCATGATTGCACCATTAAAGGCCAGTATCAGATAATTCCCCAACTACCCTTCAGACACAAACCAGAAGGAAACCAGGCTTCGCTGGCTCCATGGCTTGTGGCATGGTTTGCTGCTCTCCCTGCAGTCTCGCTGTGCCTTCACTGCACTTGGGACCTGTTTTAGTTGAGGACAGGTTTGTTCTCCTCTGCACCCTCATCTCTGCCTGCAGTACAGGCTCAGGAGACTCTTGCCCCACTTTGCCACTGACCTGCTAAGCCACTTTCCCTCTTAGCACCTCTGTTTCCTCATCTTTGAAATGAGGATTATGACCTCTGTGAGACACTTTGATGTCCACAGATGAAGTGTGCTGTGGCACATATGCGTGTTCTATTTTAAGTGGTAGGTAATATATTGTCATGTTTTTTTCTTTTCCTTTGTTTATTCACCTTTATTATTAAAAATGGAAATCAATGAACCACCCTGAAAAAAAACCAACAAACCAACAACACTTTGGATCAGCCTTCTCTTTTGAAGATAATTATGGGAGAGAAAACAGTTTTGAAACAATGGATGGCAGTGCAATGCTTAGAAACTGTAGGGCAAGAATGTATTTGTCCACTCCACAGTTCACTGTTGCAATATTCCTGTTCCCTCCCATTTTCTAAGTCATATACAAAATGTGCCTCCAAAATAAATTATGTAGCTCAGAACTGCTGCAATGCACAGCAAGATGCCTGTGAAGTGTCACTAATGGAGGATACCTTGTGTGATCCAAATGGGATGAGGAGTTCAGACTGCAGCAAGTCTTGAATGAGAATATAGCACGTGAGAGTGATGTGCACAGGCAGTGAAACCTAGGCTTGATCAGCCACCCAGAGCAGTTTCCATTTCTCCTTTTCTTCTCAGGAATGGCCTTGTTACCTGCCTGGGCAGATATGCCAACTCAGCTGGGTCTTCTGAAGGCCCTGTTGGAGAATGAAGGGCTGTTGTCACTCTGTCTTTGTTTTGGCTGGGATAGAGCCCATTTCTCTTCTTAGTAGATAGAATAGTGCTGTGTTTTGGATTCAGTATGGGATTTGGTGTGAGAAGAATGTTGATAATACACTGATGTTTTCAGTTATTGCTAAGAAATTAAGGACTTTTCAGCTTCCCCTGTCCTGCCCATATGTGGGTGTACAAGAAGCTGGGAGAAAGCAGAACCAGAGCAACAGACCCAAATTGGCCAACGGAATATTCCATACCATACAATGTCATGCTCAGTATATAGAGGAGGGTTGGCCAGGAAGCAGGGGCACTCGCTTCCAGGATTGTGGTTTTGGGATCTTGGTTTCTCTGGGATCACTAGCCGGAAATGGGCTGGGTATCAGTTAGCAAGTGGTGAGCAATCACACTGTGCATTACCTATTTGTATTCTCTATTTTTAAAAAATATTATTATTTTCTTTTAAATTATTAAACTGTTTTTATCTCAACCTATGAGTCTCCTTACCTTTACCCCTCCAATCCTCTCCCCATCCCTCGGGGCAGGGGAGGGTGAGCAAGGGGTTTGGCTGTTGACTGTGTTTAAATCATGAGACAGTCTTATGCTGTACCTGCAGATGTTTGGGACTCAGTCAGATGCTGACTCTGCTCCAAATGCTCCAAAACCATCACAGCAGTTTGGACCAACCAGTGATGTCCAGCAAATCTATGGAGGCACTGCATTGCCCACACAGGATTGAGTGCAGAATTTTCTCTGCATATAATTTTAACTGCCAGGGCTGGCAATTAAAATCTAAAGATGTGATTCCCACGTTCCACATTTTATTTGCAGAAAGCACTGTAAAAACAGAAATATTAAGGCAGGTCATGTAAGTTACAGATTATTTTCTGTGCAGCTTCTCAAAATACAAACCAGCACGCACACTGTCCTGAAGACCATGTGAAGAAACAGGAAGAGTCTTCTGGACTGAGCAGTGTCATGATCTGTTTGGATCTCTCACATTTACAGGACAACTCTATAAATTCAATTATATTTTATGAAACATTAGGAAAACAAAAAAGAAAGCAAACAAGAGTTCAATCCCCTTTGTACGGACTATTCTAACACATGAATTCACTCATTCCACCACATAATTTATCAGGTATCAAACTCGCAAATTCTCTACTTCATAACTCTCAATCTGTAACTCATAACTCATCATGTGCACTTGTGAGCAAAATAGTTCCTGAGATGATGGCGAGCGTGCTCATCCTTCCTCCTCTGTCAGGATGCAGGCAGCCCCTGTACCACACCGGGACAAACGAAAGCCACAGCAGTCTGGCTGCTCTTGGAGCCGCTTCTGAAGCTTTTTGGGTGAGCCCACACGTTTATTCCAACACCCAGCATGGAAGTTTATGTCTGACATTGCTACGAGTGAGGGGTGTCTTGAGGAAACTGCCCACCAGTCAGTGTGCAGGGAGGATGGCTGCAGGGGACAGCAAGCTGCTGTTGATGGTGGCTGAATACGGACCCTCAGCCTTTCCTGGCCACCATGCCTGCCCACGTCTTGCCCTCACTCTGGCCTCATGGTGCTGCTTCTAGGAGATACCCAAAACACACCAGGACATGGTGCTGGGCAGCCTGCTCTGGAAGAGCCTGCTTGAGCTGAATTTGGACCAGGTGACCTCCACAGGCCCCTTCCAACCCCCACCCTCTTGTGTGACCCTGTGGGCTGGTGTCCCTCCTAAAGCACCTCAACTCAGACCTGATGCCCGCTGGAAGGGATGTGGGGACAAGGGATGGTCCCAAACTCCTCCCTGAGGATCCATCACAAAACAACATCTCCCTACAACAGAACAGCCTAAGGCAGACACAGACAGAAGAAAGAAAAGATCAATTTATTGGGGACATCAGCTGTGGATGCCCAGCAGTCCCAGCAGCTCAGCTGGTGCAACAATAGAGTCAGAAAGCTGTGAGAAATCCATCAAGGCAGAAAGAGGCAGGATTTTGTTCCCCTTTCTTTGGGGAACACCATTGATGAGGAACTGTTTATGGCCCAGAGGAGAGAGCTACTGCTGATACTGGCTCCAGGGTGGCTCTGACGCCTTATCCCCATGGGGAATGTCCTGTGCGTGTCCCTGCAGAGGTGCACTGTGCCCCTGTGCCACACAGCAGGGCTCGATGGGGGTCTGAGGAGCTGCCATGGATTGCCTTCCAAGCCCTGGGGAGCACCATCCCTCACCGCCCCTTGCCATCCAGTTGCACTGACTTAGAACAGTGTGCAAGTTGGGAAGGATGAACAGTTGAGCCTGACACACACCTGGATTTCCTGACCTTCTGCACCTTCCTGCAGCTTCTCACAGGTCCATCTCCACCTCCTTCTTCTCTTCTCTTCTCTTCCTCCTCCTCTTTTCCATCCAGGTTTCACTCTCCTCTCCTCAGGCCTCTTTTCTCTTTCGCTATCTTCTGTTCTTGTCCTAGGGAGAGCCTGCAAACCTTCCCATCCCACAGCGGGACTAGTTAAGGGAAGCCATGATCCACTGGAGGCACTTCTGATTTTAACCAAGCAAGCTTATTTTACCTTCTGTCCCCCGAAAGACCCATCAGCTCTTCTGGGCGCCCCAGGGAGTCTGCTGAGTTCTCAGGGCTGGTTGGAGCCAAAGCCTGGAAGTGCCTAAAACAGAAATGCCAGAGTTGGCAGGTGGCAAGAGGAGACCTGGAAGGGTCAGCTACTGTTTGCCAAATTGCTACCTCAGCTCTCCAGAGGAGATCCCTTCTGCAGCTTTGCATCACATTTCATCCAGTCACCCCAAACCACTCCCCCCAACCCCAAAATAGGTCTGACAAAGCTCTGATGAAGTAGGACCTGCGGAAAACCCCTCTGAAGTTGACAGCTACTCCCCTCTAGCTTTTTTTAGGTACTTTGTAGGCATTTGGTTTGACTCAGCACATGCTTAATACATTTGAGAAACTACCTTACCAGTTTCCCTCACTACATAGCACCTGGGTTGGAAGGGGATGCAGGAATAACATAAACACACACCAGCAATATGGCCAGGCAGAGGCATAGCAGCAACTTGGCCTCATCAGAAACTGCCCTCCTACACCAGACACACTGCCACCATGTTTGGGGACCTAACCTACCTCTCCCCTTTCAGACTCCACCACCACATCCGCATCCCCTCCAGGTTTGTTGAGTGAAGAGAGGGGTGCATGCGGCAAAGCTTCTGCTCAAGGCTCGTTGTCTGCTGTGGCTGCAGGGACACTTTGTTCTCCCAAACACAGAGCTAGAAAGAAAAAGTGTGTGCAGCAAGGGGACTTCTTGGAAGTAACAAACAGCTCAAGCCAAACCCACCCGAAGCCCTAAACCGCTTCTCTTTTCAGCCTTCTGATGCCCTGCCTGCAGGCTTCAGCTCATTGTGCAGAGCAAACCGTTCATGCCCTGAGAGGCCATGCCCCAATGGAGTCCACAGGGCAAGTGGGGCTGACAGGACAACACTCGATGCCCAGCTCCACCAGAAACAAGGCTGAGGTTTCTGGCATCCCAAGCCCCAGCCTGTGGCAACCCTCCACCCCTCTTCTTACCTCGGGTTCTTTCTGTGGGGGCTGGTGTTGGAAGTGTGGGAAGAGCAAAACAGCAATAAAATCTGTAAAACACACATTTCCTTGACACAAGGTGCCCAGAACAAACACAGGACAGGATGGAGGTCCAGTGAATTGTGTTTGTCATGGTGCCAAGGAGGAATGTGAAGCGAGGTGGAGGCCACATGGTCCTGTTCTTTCACTTATCCCAAGTACAGTTTTTGCAGTAGCCTGCCCACCTTGTCTCTTATCCTCCCTCTTTTCCCACAAAAAACAGCGTACCCCTCGCACCAAGGAATGTACTGTGGAATGTACTGCGTCATTACTCAAAAGATAATGGCTTGACCACAGTCCCACCCACTCACACATACATACTTAGATAAATACTACCCTGAGTTTGTGTCTGAGTTGGAGGGACGATAATCCAACACCAAATTGGAGGGACAGATTGATGTGTTTGTGCCCCATGCCCCCCTCAGAAGGGATGCCTTTTGGTAAGATTTGAGCCCTTGGCTATGCTGAGTGATTACTCAGGAATTAAGTGTGTGTGATTGCAGTTGTCTTTCTCCTTGTGTAGTGCTATACAGCCAACCTGTAGCTTGTGTATTTATTGCAGGCAATCTTAGAGAATCTGTAGATGTTGCGTAAAAAGAAACCATACTATTCAGGAACCTGACTGCTTCTCTTGAATGCAACTGTCCCTACAGCACATGGGCTGTTTGTGCATCCAGTGCCAGGCCTATAGTCATGGCCTCAGTTGGCATACCTACCTATTAAGAGACAGGTCCAGCTGCCCCTAGCCCCTCTAATCTCTGAGGACCAGCTAGAACACAAGGGGATTTATTTCTTACTAAATCGATTCATCACCTTAAATGCAACAGCTGGCAACTCCTTGGCTGCCGGGCAGGGAAGGTCAGTTGTCTCCTGCCCAAAGAATTCCCTGCAGTTCTCCACCAGAAATTCCACCAGCACCTTCCCTTGCACACACCAAACCCTTGGTCTCAAGCCAGTTACCTGAACCCAGACCAAGCAGCCCTTCCCAAGGCTCGGGCCTTGCTTCCGCATGGAGGGTTGCGGTGGCAGGCAGCCACCCCGCCAGCATTTTCACCGGGAGGAGGCCTGTACAGACCTCTGCACAGCCGAGCTCTGATGGGCCGGGACAGCTGTGGACCACGGGGCAATACAGCCAACCTTGCCAGTGGCCTCCAGCATGGCCTCCAGTGACAGCAGGTCCTCGTGGACTGGGCTCTGCAGTAAAACAAAGAAATTAACAGTCAGAATCCAATATAATTTTTAAGCAGGTATTCTTTTATTGGCAGCTCTGGGGTCACCCTGGGGATTCTCCACCATAAGGGCTCCCAAGAATTAGCGAGGGACATCAGTTTACACACACACACACACACACACACACACATGCGTGCAAATCATACATATTCATTAGATTTCCTACAAAGGTGTGCCTTATGATAATGAGTTCCCAGAATGTATTTACATAGTCCGAGCATGCGTAGTGAAAATAGGGTGATGGTCTTTGGTGGTTGAGGGAGGAAGCAAGCAGTGTTTGTGAAGCAGTTGACCCTCTTTCCAGAGCGTACACTGTGAAGTAAAGTCCAGGTGACTCCCTCCTAAATCGGAAAACAGTTTCCCTATAATAGGGTCTCTGTGTCTATTTGTTCAAGCCCCCCCTATCTCATTAGAGGAGTTGCCCAAGTGTCTGTTGGAAGCCTTGAGTCTGCTATCAGTGATTTCCATAGCGAGCCTAAGGAGCATTTCAACCTTACCTAAAGAGACAAAGAGACCTCAGGAACCAGTTGAGGAATCAGGAATCTTTGAGAAACAAATGAACCAAAGCACAAGCAAACCTTTGAAATAAATGGAGCAAAGCACAAGCAAAGCTTTCATACATCACATCACAATTTAGTCTTAATAATTGTCACAAATTCATTTGTTTGAGCCCTTTCATTCCCTTTCAGCAGGTTTGGCCCAATGCAGACGGCCGGGTTGCTGCAGCTCATCCTGCTGGTGGCAGCGTGGTGGCTGATGTGCCAGAGGAGGGACAGCAGCCACTTCAGGAGGAGGAGATTGGCCGCAGGCAACTTCTCAGCCACCCTGAGGGAACAGCACCAGGTGAATAAAGCAGACATTGCCAGTAGTTGTCCCCCAGGCTCACCCAAGGCAGGTAGGAACCAGCGGCTGCATTATGCAGCTTTCCAGGTGCTCTCTCTCTTGGCCAGCGGACAGGGCTCCTGCTCCACATTGCCGGGGCCGTTGTGCCCCAGGAGGACTGGCAGAACCTAGGCCAGCCTGAAGCACTGGCAGCAGCCTAGCGAAGTTCTATAGAGTTTTAAAAGGAAGAAAAATAACTCCCTAAAAATGTCACCATATGATGGTGGCCATGTGGCCATGTGGAACTCAGCATCGCAATCACTTTCACTGCTGTGTCCTTTGCCTTGTAGTACTCAACAGCTACAGTTTTCACTTCTCCGTCAGCAGTTTAGCGGGGAGCAGTGGCTGGGTTTCCAGCAGCAGCAATGTGGTGCTGCCACCTGCTTAGCAAGGAGGTCCCAAACCATTGTGCCTTGGTCAGGGCTGTGTCTGGCTTTCCCTGGATTCCCCATGCCCATTCTTGGTTCAGTCAGTCCCTCCCTATATCTGCAGGTATCCCTGGGCCACTGCGATGAGGATTACAAGTGCATCTTTTTCCAAAATGTGAAGGCCACCTGTTATTAGGGGACAGGGAGAAAGAGGATAAACATCAGTCACTAATAATTTAAAATAGACATAGAATGCCTTTTGACATGCTGATACTTGTGGGTAAAAGCCCTTTAGCAGTCTTTTTCCACATCCTATGGTAGGTGTGATGCAGGCATGATGCATCATGGGCATGAATATCCATCTTTAAAATCATGAGGTTGGACGGAAAATCACAAGATTTTTAAATATATGTATAAAATGGTCCTTTTTATTTGCTGCTAGACTTAGTTGTTAGGAAAGGAGCCAGATTCTCAAATTACTAGAAACTGCCTCTAAAAGAAAAAAAAAACCAAAAAAACCCCAGGTATTTGTGAAAGGACAAAGATATCAAATCTGAAACTGAAAGACAAAAGAACCAACATTATGAGATTCATGATAAAATTGTTGAGATATGATAATACCAAGAAAGTCTCAAATAAGCACAGTAGGAAAGATCAGCCTCTGATGCATTTGGACATCAATCTTCTGCAGAAAGGACTGAAAGATCCTGAATGTGAACAGCCTTCAAATAGCAGCAAGTAATGCCTTATCTGACATGCCTTTATGTACGTGCCCTTGGTTCCTGGTGCAGACTCCAATAAACAATTGTAAAGACAAATATTTCTGATACGCACGTGCTCTGCACCAGACACACAGTGGTTCTGTGTGTAACTAAATGACTCACTTACCAGGACCATTTCCTTAAACACCAGTTTATACAGCCTCTGTTAATAAGAGCCCCAGAAAACTGAATTCTCCACTGGATTCATGCACAGCCAGAGCTTGACCCCCTAGGGGAAAGACTCAGACCAAGAATAATTCAGGGGGCAACAAGAAGCAAGGAAGCCACATGAAATAAATGTCAAGAGGGGGGTGCTGCTACTGGCCCTGGATTCCCTCCTCTGCCCATGAAGATGTGACAGCACTAGCTTGTGAAAGCACACAGGTGTGCTAAACACCCTCCCCGCACTGTCTGTACCGGTAACTGTCATTTGTCTTTCCCACGGATGAGCATGGGCGAGCAGATTTATGAACGTTTCCACAGGTACACGGCACCCTGCATTTCAGCCTCAGTACACAGAGCCAGGGGAATCTGTCCTCGGGACACTCTGAAGCCACACAGCAAAAGGGCAAGTACAACATCTCCTACTCTGCTCTCCAGCCCCTCACGACACATCCTCAGCACTATCCTCTCCCAAACCCTGCCTCAGGCACCCACCCAGAGCAAATTTATGCAAGGCTGGGTTTGGTCTCCCAGACCTCTGCCTGAGGATTTGCAGTGGTGAAGCTACAAAGGTCAAAAAAAACACCCAATCCAAATAATTGTTTATCAGCACTGCAGTTTTACTGCTGTAATTCTGAAGAGGAATTCCTCTGAACTATTATGCACTTGGATCCAACCACCGAATCAAACTTATTCCCAGACTTTCTCCTTTATTGCATTACTCAGCTTTTTCCGAGTCTTACAAAAACCACGACTTTGGTGCTTTGCCACCCAGAAACCAAAGGAAGCTTCCATGAAACCAGCAAACACCTCCCATCTTCTCACCAATGTCATTAAAGAAGCAAAACAAACCAGAAAGGTTGTACAAGTCAGCCTATAAACCCAGGCATGAGGAGAGCAGTGTCAGTGGTAATGGGGCAAGAAAGGCAGGGTAATTATACCACACCAAAATTGCAACCATGCTGCATTCCTCTCCAGTGAAGGCCGGCTAAGAATTAGATACACCTTTTTAAATCATCAAAGGGAGTGGCTGCAAGATACAAGGTGCTGGGATTAAGATGAAGTTCTGGGTTTGCCAGTTCTCAGCAACGGCTTTGGTGGCTGGGCTGGGCATGTCATTAACTGTTCCTAAATGGTGTTCACACCACGCCACTTCCGTTTAATCTTTATACAGTTCTCAGTATTTCAAGAGTTCTAGGCTCCCACTGAGCAAAGGGCTGTACAAACCCAGAAACAGAAGACAATACCTATCCACAATATTTTTGTACTTGGTCAGCCAGTCAAGTTCAGTAACTTGTACTTCAGCATTATTTCAGTGGAGCACAAATATTCATCATGTTGCTCCAGCTACTACCACAACGTCTGCAAGCTCAGGCCCTCAAGCACGAAATCTCAAGAACTTTCCTGTTGAGGAGGCTGGTAAATATACTGAATGGGGCCCATTTTGTGCAGATGATTTAACAAGGACTTCATGAGTGAAGGAACAGATCTGGCTCAGACCTTTCCCTTTTTCAGAACAAATGCAGGATCTTAAATGGCAGCACTCCCCCTGCAGCCCTTTGCAGAGAGGAACCTGCTGAGAAGCTGGGTCTCAAAGAAGCTCCTCTGTGGGTGGAAGGCACAGTGCTGCCCAGAAACACAACCCTACTCCACGGACTGCTGGGCAGTGCAGAGGTAGGTAGTCCTCTTCTGCTAGAGAATACCTCTCTGTGAGAAACCACAGGAGCAGTCATCACACAGGCAGGACAGTGGCACACAGAGGCAAAGCTCCTGCTTTGGCTGCCTCACCTTATTTGTGGTGCAAGCAGGATTTTCAATGTGCTACTGGATTGTTATGGGGTGAGAGGAGAATGTGGCACACAAACAGAAAGGCACAGACCAGCAATGCCTTAAAAAACGGGAATGTCCTCCCCCATCATAATTTCACAAAGCAGGTTGTTCCAGTCAATCTTTCCATGGCCAACAAAACAAATGTTGCATTTGTGCTAGTTTTTGGAAAACATGCCAAAGAAGACAAACACAAGGTGAAGAAGCTAGCCAAATGGCCAAGTCTTGCTATTTAAAATGAAAAAGTTCAATTAAAACCAGCTACAAAACAAAGGCATAATGATGACCTCTCTCCTCATAAGAATTCACACTTTGGCACAAACAACTGGCTGGCCTGATTTTATGTCCAATAAATTTAATCTTATCCCATAAAGTGGCTCCCTGTAGAGTAGAGGAAAATATGAGGTGTTCTTAAAAGAGCTCTTTGGGCATCATGTAACACTGTACCACTAAATAAAAATAAAAAGCTTAGGGCAATTTCTGTTCTCTCTTAGGCCAAGAGAAAAAAAGGATAACACAGCTGGTATTGGCATTGGTGAGGTGAGAAGAGACATGAGCTGACAAAACCATCAAGCTAACTCTAGTTCCTCTTTGTGGTGAACTTGTGAACACACTGAACTCACCACTCAAAAGCCAACTGTTTCTAATGTGTGATGGATTCATGTTACTGCATTGTTTATGAATTCAGTCTCCTGGCAGTATTTGAGGAAGGTGCTTTTCCATGTGGTGATGACTGACACCCAATGTTCTGGCATGAAGAAAACAGTCCAGTGGTTTTCCCATGCTGAGATTTGGGCCACAGGGATGCCCGCTGGCTGCCTTTGCGTCCAGCTGTGCTGATACAACTGAAGAAGCCATGACATCAGTATGCGACTTCCAGCAGAGGTGTTTGCACAAACATAATCTTCTATGAGCCATCTCCAGGTGGGTATCCAGAGATGAAAACACCCCCAAATTAGTAGGCACTACTGAAAAAGTAACCAAGCATCTGGACACTTGCACAATCTTTACTTCTCCGTAGCTCTTGATTTCTCAAATGGCATCACCTACTGATTGCGTTTCCCAACGGATACACACTGTGATATTGAAACCCTCAATATTGCTGTGACTTAGCTTCTTCCACTCCACTTTACTCAAGGTGAGTAATTAATCCTCACAGCACCTCGGAGGAGGAAGGACAGTGACATTCCCCAACCCAGCCCAATGTGCACATCAGAGGCATGAAAAGCCAAGCGATCCGTGCGAGGTCCTGCAGCAGGGCAGCCAAGCCCAGTCGCTGTGTCACGTTCCTAAACAGGTGTTATGCCACCAAATCCCAGGGGTGAGGAAGTGAGAAGAAAGCCTTCCTCAACTCCCCACCCCACCCCCGGACCCTGAAGCCATCAACAGGATCATTACAGCATGCTTGCCGGGACAAGTCACTCGTGCTGTGGTGAAGGCGAGGGATTCCTGGCATTGCACGGGAGCTGTGAGCGGGGCTGGTGGCCTCAGTCAGAGGTTTGCCATGCTCTCAGCAGAGCGGGACACCCACGGACACCACCATGTTGCATAACCACGGCCACTTCATGTAAATAGGAGCTCCTGCTCCGTAACAAGCCATCAACAGACAACCGACTTATGCAATTACCGCCTCTCATTAGGAGGTTGGTGGGGAGGATTTCAAAGGAGCTGCTGCCTGACTTGGCCAAGAGGCTGCAATTTCACCCAGTGGCACGTTCAGCAGCCACCCACTGCCACAGGCCATGCCACCCCTCACTCAGTAGGGAGATGTGTCCCATCAAAGCACCCGCTCAGGGACTCGACCCGCCGAGGGTCTACGCCGTGGGGCAGGGCACCCCAGCACAGAGGGGAGTGGGGTGACGCTTTGTTTTGGGGGCGCTGAGCCACCTCTGCACTTCTGGAGAAGGGAAGCGACCCAAGGTGCCCGGCTCGGCCTCTTCGCCGGGGTGTCCAAGCTCAGAAATAAATGTATAAGAGACAGCTGCTATACCGTCAATGGCTTTAATAAGCTGACAAATGAGAACTGCGGCATTTGGGGCTTATTTGCTTGTTTCTGGCTGAATGAGAGCCGTTCTGTTTGTGTTACAGCTTTGGCATCAGTCTGACTTGTGGGGAGTCAGAAGATCCTCCTGCGGATGTAGCTATTGAACTGAAAGCTGTGTTTACAGACAGACAGTTTGTCAGAAACTCTTGTGTAGCTGGAGAATGGGGGGAAGAGCAATCATCTATTCCTTATTTTCCATTTATACCGGACCAGCCTTTTCGGGTGAGTACCAGGATGACAGTGGCATGCACCATGTATAATATGATCAGTGTCACAGCAGCACCTGACTTGCCTCTCGTGAAATCACAGCATAGCCTGTGCTTCTCTTGTTGAGACATGGGTTGCTGGATTGTTTCCATTGATCAGAAGTTGCGCGGAGATCCCGCTGCTATGTGCAGCTGCAGGCAGTTCAGACGGGGCTGTGAATACCTCACCGGGGTGCTATGACAGGTCGGAGGTTGTAATACCATGTGATGAAGTGCACTTCCTGAGCTTAGTTTTATAGCTATAAATTAAAAAGTACTTCTGTGTTATTAGTGCATTACAAGTTATTACTGGAGAATGTAAATACTCTGGGACTGCCATATGTTTTGATGGTTTTTTTAATGGACACACTGTTTGCAATTTAGTGCAGCTAATAAGGATCTTGTTCATCCTTTGTCTCCAGGGACGTTACACTGAGGTTGACCGTAGCCCTTCATGTTAGCAGATTAAACAGTTAAGCAATAGTGGTATTCTTTTCTGAACCCTGGGATTAAATTGCCTGTCAAATTTAAGGCTGTAGTCGCTTGAAAATGGTGTACGTGGAAATGCTCTAGTGCAAGGGGTGGACTGGGTTGACCTAGAAGCAGATTCCCATCTGTATTGTTTATGGTTATGTGAAGATGTCTTTGCAAATCAGGGCTAACAAAGTATGCAGCTGCAGAGGACCGCTTCTCTCAGTGGCTTCACAATGTTGAGGAAAAAAGGCTGCATGCCTTCTCCATGCGGCTGACCCAGAAAAACCCTCCTTCTCCCCGCCCCTCTTACGAAACTTTGCTGGCCCCTCTGCTAAATGCCAATGCTCTGACCAGCTGCCAAACTCTCTTAATCCTTCTTGCCCCCAAGATAATCTCCCCCAACCCCAAAACCTCACTGTCTCCCCAGATGCTCGGGCTTTGAAAGGGTGTTTATGACTGAGTTTCTCACAAATTGGTTGTGCTCTACTTGCTTCTGCGAACTCTCCCATTGGAACTGGCAACACCCTTTGGTGCACGTGGGAAGTGCACTTGAAAAGTCTTGGAGGCTTGGTGCTGCTCTGGCTGAGAGGGTGGTGGCTGGGCCCTCAGACAAGCCAGACAAATTAACCAGAGCATGTTCTGTGGGTGTCCCACTAATGACAATTAATGTTAGAGGACAGCAATATTGCACTTTTGGCACAAGATACTGTAGAAAGGCAGGTTTTTTGTTTGTGGGGTTTTTTTTCCACCTCCTTTTTTCCCAAATGCACAAATGGAATTTAGGCTCCCAATTGACTTTGTACCTTTGATGGTCACCCTCTTGGTGAATAAATTCAACAAGTGTTCTTGCCAATTACTTGTGATCCAGTCCAATTATCGTTCTGGCGTGGCCCAGGGTGATCTGAAAAAAATGGATCGTAAGCAGCGTTGAGGCTAACCATATCTTTTACATAACAAGGCCTAAGGCTGGATGCACCTGCTGCAGTGACACAGGAGCTATGTGGCAGCACAGGCACTTCCCTGCTACGTGGTGCACTACCAGGTCCCCAGGAGCTTCAGCTCTCCTGGACCGTCAGCTGCCACTTCTCCCAGCACAACGTGCCCCCCAAGTCAGTCGGGTTTCGGTTTAGTCAGTTTGTCACTGGCCCCGTTCCCATTTTTATATGCTGTAATAGCAGCAGAGTGAAGTGCCTGGAAGCAGCACTTCACTCCAGACTACCAGCCTCTTGAAGTGACACAGGATTTACATGTGGCTTCCCTGCAGATTTTCTTCTTAGCCTGCCCGGACCTGGAGTCTCTGAGGGCCTGTACAAGAAGCGCATGTTCTGTGCCCTCATATCCCTGCTTCTTGCCGGGGCAGCTCCAGCAGAGCTTGACTACAGGGCATCCTCTCAAGCCACCCCTAACATCAGGAATCTCCCAACCTGTCCAGGCTTGTTCAGGTTTTGTTGCTTTTCCAGAGCATTTCTGCAGGGCTTGGAGGAGGAGGGATGAGCTGTGTCCCTCCCTGATCTTGTTTGTGCCTTGTGCGAACTGTCTAGCAGAATTCAAGCCATACTGCACCATGTTACCATCACTGCAGCCCCAGTATGGAGTCTGGCCCAACAAGGAGTCCTGGGCTGTCTGCAGCCACAACAGTGAAGGCTTTTTAGTTTTGCAGCAGCTCTGTGAGTATATGTGGGAGGGGAGGGCAAACCTATCCCTCCTCTCGTGTTCGCTCCCTTCCAGTAAATTAACGGAAGCATGGAAAGCATTGCAGAGGGAACTGCCCCCTCATTCTGCAGCAAAAAAAATTATGTAGCAAGGAATGCAAGATTTGAGTTGGAGATAGAATTTTTTCCCCCTGTAATGAGCAGTTTGAGCCTGTTTCTGGCATTATTCCAAGAGGCAAAACCCTCCTGATGCCAGTGGGACTGGGTTCCAAAGTCCTTCGCACCACAGCAGTGTGAGATTGGATTAGTGTCCCTGCGAAGTCAGAGGAGATCCATCATAGTGGCACTGGTCTCATGTGGGCAAACTGGCCTCAGCTCGGGCTGCTACATGGCACAGAAGTAGTAAAACTTGTAACCACACCAACACTACTGAAAGGCTAATGGAGTGCTTTTTGTATTCTATGAAATAACTTCCTGGTTACACTGTGAACAACGTGCTTCATCATTTTTATTTTTTACAGGTTGAGATACTTTGCGAGCATCCCCGTTTTAGAGTATTTGTGGACGGACATCAGCTCTTTGATTTTTACCACCGTATTGAAACACTGTCAGCAATTGACACGATAAAGATAAATGGAGATCTTCAGCTTACAAAACTTGGCTGAGCTTGTTAGGACTGCAGATTCCAAACCGGCTCAGGTGCCATCATCCGTTTGGAGAAGTGACAGCCATCTCTGGACACAGCTATGGTAGGAGGGCTGCCCTGTTCCTTTTCCGCATGCAGTTCTTCCTCCTGTGCCGATGAACCGGGCTGTTCTTCATTAGGATAAAGAACATCGTTGGTTAATAGACATTGAGCCATTTTTCTTGGATCAAAATAGCCCACCTGTGCTGGATAATCAAATTGGAATGGATTCAGAAAGACTTGCAGTCTTGTTTCAAATCTTACAGAAAGGCAATTTATGAAATACAGCACTAAAACCGGTTACTGAACAGCAGTGACAACAACAACAGAAAAGTTTTTCTTTTGCAAATATTGTTTCTGCACTGAAGTGGAGTAGTGTAGCACAACATAGGGCCACGTGCTGATGTCCTTGCCCAGGGCCTAAGCCTGGTTCCATGGAAATCAACGGCAAAACTCCCACTCACTTTAACGGGGTACAATCAAATAGTCTAGTCCTTAGTCAAGCACAATTCCCACTGATTTCTATGGGATTTTTTGCACATGCCTAGGGGCTGGCTTTTCTGCTGGGGTAAATCAGCATTACTTCCATGGCTTGCAGTGGGATTTTGCTGATTGCTCCCAGCCACTGATTTGGCCCAAGGACTGTGCAAAAACTGAATGAGGATGTGAGGACACAGCCTGTATATTTTAGTCAGGGTATTTGCATAGAATGTAGAACGTTACGAGTTTTTGCACAATGTATTGTTAATACAATTTTTAAAGCTTATCTGTAGTTTATTTATTTATACTCCTTGTATGTATTATTAGTAAAAATGAACAATCTTACTGATGGTTAAGAACAGCAAAGTGTAAACATTTTGAATGTACAAAATGTCTAGGTTCTTTGGGTAAACTTTACATACCATTCTCAAAAAATCATGTTTCCTATTGAACATTAAGTTACATTTTAATGGAGCCCTCTAGGCCCTGGGAAAACGTGGGCATGGTAGTTGGTGGGGGTGGGGAAACTCTGCATATTCACTAGAAACTGTCTTTCAGGGCTTACTAACTTTGCTGCACAGGATGGGTTTGAGTTAAAGTCATTCCATTTTAAAAACTTAAACAGCAAATTTGTAGGTTTACTGTGCTTTTATAACCTGAGAAGAAGTTAAATTTGGCAGTCTCTTGGTTCCGAAGGAGAACCAGCGTCTTTCCAGGGGAGATGGGAGATTTTTTTGCACTTAAGAACATATTCGGCCTTTGATATGACAATTAAAACTTGTCTAGACAGCCAAGTTATTAATGCTTGAAAATCAGATACTGCACATGAATAATAACTTCAAGTAGCTTTTTAAATAGTAGGTATAGCTGTATAAACACAGTCATTGCGCTACACTATAAATGAACACAACCACTTTTCTTGACTTCTTTAGGACTAAATACACTTTTTTCCTTGGCTGCTCACAACGGACTGTAGCAGGTCTTTCTGAGTAGTTATGATATAAACATATATTTAGGCAATTTGGAAAACATGTAATATAGGGACTTTCTAAGACACAGAATACAAAAACATCCTTTGTAGCACAGTATTTAAAAAAAAAAGAGAAGAGTCTCACAAACAGAACTGTCAAACCTGCAATAAAACTGTGGTTTAAAGCAACCAGAACTGGAATATCCAAAGTTAAGGGTAGAATGCCAGTTGCAAAGCCTCATTTTGCGCTAATTTGGCCTGCAGTTAAGAAGCCTTAGACTGCAAGCTGAAATTCCAGCTGTGGCTCTAGTCCAAAGCCTGTTGAGGTCAATCAGAGTCCTCTGAGCACAGAAGCCTGATTCTTATTTCATGCAAGTGCAAATCTCTTTGTAAAGCCCAGGGAGTATTGCTGCTGCTCCTGCAGATGAGTTAAGAGTCAGGCTGCCACCCCTAAAGTAAAAGTTAAATGGAATTTTTAGCCTTAACATTCCTTGACTTTTCCTTTTTCCAAACTGAGAGAACCTGTTACTTTCCAGATGATCTTTTTGTCTGGTGTGTGGCTTTTAAGTTGTACATCAGATTCTATTTGTACTCCAGATTGAATCTTGATATGAAATGTCCCTGTTTTGCTGTTTTTACTCTTTTACATGATAACTGTCATTTTCCATTGTACAAAGAATGCTGACAGTGTTTCGGTACAAAATACATTCTTAAAAATGATGATGATGATAATAAAAATCCAAGGGAAAGGTGCTTCTACATGAGGTGTTTGGATTTTTCTCCAGCATGGAAATGCTCTATGGTTCCAAAGCAGAAGCAGGCAGATAAATTCTGTTTGGAGAGATGTTTTAAGCACCCTCCCTGCCAAGCGCTTTCTCCAACTAGACACTAAAGCCAGGTTTGCTGATGCAGTACCATTGCCTGAGGCTGTCCTGCTGGTCTGGTGGGCCAGAGTAGGAGGCTGGGGAGAGTAGCACCATGACCCTACAATAGCACAAAACCAAAAGGGATCTCCCTGACAGTACACCAGTAGAGATTTACTCTCCCTGCCTTTATTTTAGCCCAGAAAAATCAATTTGGCTGACTTGAATTTTCAGCCACTTGGGATTCCTGGTAGGTTAGCACAACCCACCTGCAGACTTTTGCTGTCTTGCACGGACTGGGCACACACAATGCCCACAGCAGGGATGCCAAGATAAACCGTGTCGGCGGCATCTCTGTTGGGAGCAAGGGCCCAGGGATACTGCCTCGCCTCCATTCCCGCCTGCTGCGCTGCGCACTCTCATTTGTTCCTGCTCCACTAGTTTACCCGTCTCGGGGAAATGCTTTTTTGAACCTGATTCTGATTTTGCCTTTGCATAACTCCACCAACCACAGTGCCCACCGCCTGATTCTGCCCTGTTGTGGTTTCTGAGCTAGGCTTCAAGGCAAGGAGGGCTGTGAACCCACTTCTGATAGGTTGTGGTTTGGCTGAGAGCTCAGGAAAGGGCAGAAAGGCACAGTTCAGTCTTCCACGTCTCTTTGTCTGCCTAACTCTAGGTTGGAAGCCTTTTTACTTTTCTTTTGCTCTTGGGCAGTTCCAGGCTATGGCAGGCAAAAGAAGGATGATGTCTACGTAATGAAGGGCTGTTCCACGTGTGCTTGGCTTATGTTGGCTGATCGTGTTCGGAAGCAACTGCTGAACACTTCCATGCACAGTGTAGTCATAGAAAACTGAGGCCTTAAATGTTTCTGTCCAGCTGGACTTTTAGCCAAATCCAAAGATGGGAGACCATGCTGCATAATTTATATCTGAATTTTTTGGTCTCCACAATTTAGGGATTATTCACATCTTCATTTTGGATATAAGTCCTACTAGACCTGAAATGACTGTTTCTAAATTGGGCCAGGTTTTCAAAATGTTTTTCAGTAGGGACAAGTAGTCTGTGAGCTTCTTGGAAGCTGCAGTTCATAAGGACTGAGTGAGTGTGTGAACCAACTTTTGAAATCTTATGCTAGAATTTATTAGCTGAATATTTCTACGGTTTCCTCTGAAGGAGGAAATTAATTCTGAAATTAAAGAAGTCTTGGATGGGTAAAACCCACGTGGAGTAGAATCACTCAAGTTAGCAGAGCTTTATTTTTCCAAAGAGAAAAAAGAAAAAACAACCAAAAAACCACAACCAAATTATTTAGTTATATTTGGAATAGGCTGTGATAAAGCTGATTTTTTTTTTTTTTTAATGAGGTTATTGCCTATTCAGAAAGAGCCTTGAAATACTTCAATATCATGTGAGGTATCATAACATAAACGGTTTTTCACAGCCAAGTTGTTAAAAATGTTACAAAATACCTTCTTTTTGTGTCACAATTAGAAATGTTTGCCCCACCTTGAAAGAACATTTTGTACTAAATATTCATGTTGTCTATGTGAACTTGCACTAACATTTATTATATTCTCCCTCCCCTCCTTGACTAACTTGAGAAGAAATAGGCGTAATATTGCTAAACCGGTTGAATGTGACATCTGCTTGAGGCATAGCATCTTTCTCAAGGGCTGTTTTGAGTAAACAGCCTGAAAACCAAAGGCAGAGCATGATTCACCATTCTGCTGTGCCAGCTTTCCACCCTTGTCACTCTCCTGCTGTGAGGCTGAGACTGAAGTCCTGAAATTTTAATGGAAGGGACCAGCACTGAGATTTTTATCTTCCAGGATTTAAAACTATCCACTGTGGAGGAAACAAGAACAGAGTAGCCACAGTGCTCTCAAGCTTGGTAGTAGGTTTGGGTAGCATGATGTGCTGTAGTTCTAACAGAGCATGAAGTCAGAGGGAAGTAGTGGACATTTCAGAGCCAGCCAAGAGCATGGGCTGTGGAGCTGTGCTACAGTTTCCCAGAGATGAACACTTGCCACATTGTTAGCTGCCACCTTCTGCAACTCTGTACCAGGACACACGGCAAAAAAACAGCGTAGCTTAGAAGTTTGGAAGGTGTGAATGGGTTCATGTTCCTACTCGCCTTCTTTAAAAGAAGCTCCCAAATAAGTAAGAGGAAAACTTAGGAACAGCCATGCCACTAGGGTGATTTTTTCCTCACAGACATCAGATACAGCAGATGTGGGGCTCATCTTGCCTCCCACCCACGAGTGGTCTCCCCACAGAAATCTACTAAAATGCTGGGGTTTCAACCCCAAGCCCCAAATCAAGGTTGACATATGGGTGATTCCCACAGCCCTCCACAAAGGGGTGATGAGTTTGCCTTTAGGCTTCCCTCCAGGGTGGTGCCGGCCTGGCAGGGAGAGCCATTAGGTAAAGGAGCCCCAGGTGTCCTGCATTAAGTAAGCAAAGGTCAGGTGTCCCACTCAGGGGTAAAAGCTGGGACCACTTGCAGGCAGGGGTAGTGTCTGTTTGTGAGGTGGATGCAGTGTGTAGAGTTTCAAGTTGGGGAAGGACCTCCTGCCTCCCTGGAACTGGGCTCCAGTCAGGTCTGGCTTTTATAAATGTGGTCTGTGTATAGATTCAGTGTGTGGTCTCCTTGGTCTTATGTATTTGGCTTGTTGACTTGGCTGTCTCCTGTCCCTTCTATGGGAAACTACATTTCACCATTTATTCCACCCATTGTTGGTCATGAGCTGTTGTTGTTGGGGTCATTGGGATTGATGTCGATTGTGTATAATCTGACTGACTTGTTTATACCCCCAGCGCTCACCCAGGTACTGACCCTTTTGTATCAAATACAATTTGGTTATTGGTTCGCCTTTATGCTGGCTGTGTCCTTTCTGCTAGGCCTAATAATTGGCAAAACATCTACAGCACTGCTTTCTGCACTGAGGCTGTTTACAGAGACCTTTCTATGCAGGAGACTGTAGAAGCACCACTCTGCTGAGCCAGTTAGTTAGGGGTGGCTCTAAGCAACCTCCCAGCACCCCTGGAATTGATATGACAGTTTGAAGAACAAGAGTCAGGCTGAGGACAGCCCTAAATGCTGTGATAAGCACAGAAGTTAGTAAGAAAAGCTACACAAGTCTAGAAACAGTTAGTGACCATGAGTATTGTTCTGATTTTCTTATGTGGATCCGAAAGTGTAAAGGTAAAAGTCACTTTGTAATGAATAGTGTGTGGGCTTAGAACCAAAGCCAACCCAAATGGGGAGAAAAAAATGAGTTGCAGACGCTTTATCTGCCTTTGATACACCCTCCCAGCTCCTCCCAGCAATCACTGCTGTTATGAACATACACAATTACTACAACAAGGAGATTCAGCAGCATGTGCAAGATCAAAATAATAAACTTGTATTTTGCCACAGGTCCTCCCTAGCTTCTGTTGCTAGGCCTCTCCATCTGCCTGTCAACAAATAACTATTTCCTGCTGCTTTTAAAATCCATGGCAAAAATCTCTTTGACTTTCATGGAAACAGGTCCATAAGAAAAGGGGTATTTCTAGCTCTCCCTCTCCAGTTATTTTCAGCTGGGGCATACTCTAAAACTGAGTTTATTTTTAAGTATGAATAGAGGACTATTTCTGTTGGCATTATCCATTTGAGAGAGTTGACAGAAAGCACAGCCTCTCTGCTGCAGTAACTGGTTTCGCAGTTAGCTGATTAAATGTCTTATATTCATTACCTTCTGATTTTAAAAAGCGAGGGTGTGAACAAAATGACTGGGCAATAATAGTAATATGTATCACTCACCACAGATCTATTTTTATGTGTTATGCCAATTTCATCATGAACTTTTAATAACAATAAAACGTGAAATCTTCACTGGGTTGTTCTGGTTTTTATCTGAATTATTAATGCTCATTACACACCCTCTTGACTTCTGGCTTCTTTTATCTTCTGACTGATTTTGTAGCTAACTCCTTCCATCGTAAAACTGTAGTGTGAAACTTTAGAATGAGATGTGCAGCTTTGGTAGCAGCTTATGTAAAACGCCTTTACAATTTAAATGCACTATACAGAACAATCCAATAACTTAATTAGAGGAAAGAATAGCTTGCTTACTCATGCAAGACTCCCACTGACATCACTGGGCAGTGTAAGCCTCGGGAGTTAACAGACATGACCTTGCAGCCAGGCCACGAGACACAGATGGCTGATCACTTTTTTATAGGGTAAAACAACCCGTCAGCAGCACAACTCACACACGTGCTTCAGTTCACTCTGGTGGGACTGGATTCATGGGTGGGGGTTACATGGTGAGTAAAACCACCAGATCAGCTCCAGAGACCTGTTATTATGAAATCCAGTGTTTCACTCATTGGCATGATACTAACTAAAGTTCCTGTTGACCTGAGTAAATGCAGGAGGAAACTTTAAGGTCTTGGCTTCTTTCAGTTAAAGCTATTGGAAAAATTCTGCATGACCCAAACAGGAAAGGATTATGCCCTACATCCATTTGTGGCTGTAAAAAATAACTGAGGTTTCCGAGGGAAACCTCAAAATCCACACAGCACTGAAGCAGCAGATGAACAGGATTTGCATACAACTAGTTCTGTGGTTTTTCTCCTGATAAAATGACTGTGAATCAGATACTCCCCACACTGTTCATCCTAGCTCTAACCCGTGAGCAAGGATCTGTGGCCACGTCTGCTCAAAGCCAGCCTGAAACTGGCCCTGTTTGCTATACACAGCCCTAAAAGTTAAGACTTCTAGAGGTTCCAAGTTAAAACACAGCATTAAGTAACCCAGATGCAAACCAGAAATGGTATAAAGGCAGCACTTAGTCCCCACCAGACAGCAGAAGAGCAGCAGCTGTCTACATGCCTGGGGGGATTTTCAAAAGGGGGCATATATACATCAAATTTCACCACTTGCATTGACTAACTCCTATAGAGGCCATTGCAAAGCTCTCATTTGACCTGTAATACTGAGTGAACTACAGGCACGGTTTTGGGGGGAACAAAGGGAAGGGGTCGCCCACTCCATTGAGAGCACCTGATGTGGCAAGCGCCGTGTGTACTTCTCTCCCATTCAGATAGGTAATAGGGATGCCCCACAGTTGGGCCTTATTTTGTTTCTGAGCTTGAAGTCATGCCAATTCACGTTGAGGGATTTACTCACAGGAATACCACGAACATGACTCTTTGCTAGCACTGCACTGGATCTTATTTTTAAATTATGACTTTCATCACTTTTCTAAGAATAGAGGCTGGCTCTGAAACATCATGTCGGCTCCAGCATTCTCCAGAAGTTAGACATTTCTCATCCTGTTTAGGTTTTGAGGCTTCGGTTTCCACACTGGTGCCTTGCTAGACCAGGGCTGTGATGCCAGGAAGGGTGTCATTCTGTGAAGGACCCTGAGAAGGAGGTGTCTTTCAGCAGCTCTCTTCCCAGACCTCCAAGTCTCCCTCAGCAGTCAGAAACAACAGCAAAACAGAGCTTGCTGGCTCCTGGTTTGCAGAACAGGGCTTCCTTGCGACTCTGAAAGGTAGGAACAAAAGCCTGGTTAGTTAGAAAAACCTCACTGAAGCTGAATAGTAAATCTCAGCAGCAAAGAGGAGGATTTCAGTACTAGGCAACTGGATATTAACAGCAAAGAGCCATGCTCCCTTAGTGCCCAGGGAGCACTGTAGGTAGGTGTTGCTTCCATCAAGCAGAGAGGCAGAACTCCGTTCTGCAGAGCAGCCCAGTGCTGATGGAGATGCTGGAGGTTTATGAGAGTGCTCAGTGGCTCTGTCTTCACCCAGCTCCAAGAACTCTTATGATGGGAGAAAAAACAGTGCTGACAGAATTGTAATGTATGACAAGCTACAGTAGCAGCTCCAGCGCTGTGTGCTCCAAGAAGCAAAGAGGATTATTTCCTGGCTGCCCTCTATTTTCTGTTCAATGGGAAATATCATCACTGTCTAGAAGAGATCCAGACCAGAACTAAGGACAGAATATGGCTCTAGGTAGAAGAAACATTAATGGAAAAACAACAGATTCACTACAATCTCCAGGGGGAAACAAAATATTTTAAAAGTACAAAGGCCACAACTAGGATAGTGGGGTGCCTTTCACACCTCACTTTGGGAAGAAAGATATAATGAGCAACAGGGGTTACAAAACAGACAATGAGGGGCAAATCTGGGAGCAGCTCTGGATCATTGCGTGGGTACAGAGCACAGCTTCCACATCCATTCCCCTCTGTGTCCACTGCCTTTTCTCAGGGGTGGCCAGGCCCCACCATGAGAGAGAACCATTGCTGAAAACCCCACAGGCAGAGGAATTCTGTGGTTTCAGACCTTTGTGTGTCTCAACA